AAGACTTGCCTACTATTGAAGAATGGACACTAAAAGTAGCGAATTTAGCAGAGATGGCTAAAATTTGAAGCGTATTTGAAGGACCATTCAAATGAAAGATATATATTGGAATGGAGAAGATGGATTGACTATATTCAAAACAAATATCGGACTAAAAAGTTTCAAATAGCTTATGAATGAAATCTATATTTTCTTTTTGAATATGTTTAGTTAGTTGAAAGGGGAATTAAAGAGCAAGGGGGAGTTTGGAGACCGCAGAAAGTTAGCCTATTTTAGTTTATGTTTGTTATGCTATACCCTGTTTTTGCTCTGGGAAGTCCGGGGGGTGGGTGTCGGGGGGTTGGAGGGAGAGGGGGCGATGGGGGGGATGGGAGGGGGGGAAATTGTTGTAATGATTGTTAAAACTTTTTAAATAAAAAAAAATATTGCTTCTTTTCCCTTAATATTTATCTAAACACTTTCAACAGGGTTTTCATTTTTGGTGTCATGGATTCTCGTACAGGTGTAGTCAGAATAATAAAGTTGGAAGGGACCCTTCAAGGTCTTCTAGACCAAGCCCATGCCCATGCCCATGCCAGGTGTCCTTATACCATTCCAGTCAAATGGTTGTCCAATCTCTTCTTAAAAACCTCCAGTGATGGAGCACCCACAACTTCTGGAGGCAAGCCGTTCCACTGGTTAATTGTTTTCACTGTCAGGAAATTTCTCCTAGGTTGGATCTATCTTTGGTAAGCTTCCATCCATTATTTCTTGTTCTGTGCTCAGGTGCTTGGAGAATAGATTGTCTCCTTCTTCTTTGTGACAGCCACTCCCCACCAAATACTGAAAGACTACTGTCCTGCCCCAGTCCTCACACACATAGCACAAGTGGAGTAAGTGTGTTTATTTCATACAACCAACCCTGTAGTCATTCCCCAGTCCCAACTCTGTGAGAAGTCTTTTTAAAGTCTGTTCTAAACAACTTGGATGTAGCAAAAGCAATGGAAGAAACTAGGCCACAGTCTCTTTTGTGCCTAAGACATGGGAACAGCACTGGTGGAACAACAGCCCTCACGACACTCAGAGTTGAAGGTATAGCCAAGGCAAACACGGGTTCAAGATGCAACAGAGACAACACAACTCCAGCTGGTTCCAGACAATGGCAACTTACCATCAATGGGTTCAAGGCACAATGAAAGCAACACAGTCTCCAATGAGTTCAAGGCACAAGGAAGGCGTGATGACCCGGGACAAGGCACAGAGGCAACACAGCCAGCTGATAGTTCAAACTCCCCTTTATTGCCCCAACTTTCCCCCAAACACTCCCACGTTTATGGCAAGTTCTGGAGAAAAGCGCTCACACACACCTCCAGCAGCCTCTGGCTGCGAGTAGTCCAGCAAAACACCGTTAGCAGGATGGCTTCAAGGCAATAAGTCCAGTGAGGCAAAGGGATAGGGCAGCAATAAGTCCAGCGAACAGCAGCAACGACACACAAAACTCCACGAGTTCAGCACTTGTTCCCGACAAGCGCCCCTCCCCACAGCGTCTCAGTCCCCAGGTGTGCCTTGTGAAGAGGGGCGGGGCGCTCTCCTCCCGAGTTATTGGATCAGCCTGTGCTGTTCCCGCCTCCTCTCCACTCTATGCTCGGGGTTCAGGAGGGGACTCCTCCTCTTCACTGCCTGCCCTCCCTTCCCCCCTCTCGATCATCCTACCCATTCTTCCCTGCTGGTAAGCCATTCCAGGCCTGAGGGACCTGGGCTGTCTTGTCCTGCTCCTCTCCGCATTCCTCCGGAGCCAACGAGACCGCACCCTTGACCTCCGTCAGCCCCAGCTCCGGCTCGTCCACCTCCACAGACTCAGGCTCTGACGGGGCCATGACAGAGGGCAAATTGACTTCAATGGGTTCAAGGCCCAACAACGACAACACAAAACCAGCAGGTTCAAGGCACAATGGAGGCATCAATTTGGGAATTGATGCCTCCATTCGGGAAGGCTTGGACTCTGACTGGGTAGATTCCGGTGAGGTGACTGAGGCCGGCCTTGAGAATGTTATCTGGGAGGGGTTCGATCCTGTGACTTCTGAGGATGTGGACAGGATTCTGGGGAAGCTAAATGCAACCACATGTTTATTGGACCCGTGTCCTTCCTGGCTGGTACTGGCCACCAGGGAAGTTACACGAGGCTGGCTCCAGAGGATTATAAATGCTTCTCTGAGCGAGGGTTTCTTGCCTGCCACCTTGAAAGAGGCGGTGGTGAGGCCCCTCCTCAAGAAGCCTTCTCTGGACCCGGCTGTTCTGGCAAATTACTGTCCTGTCTCCAACCTTCGCTTTATTGCGAAGGTTGTTGAGAATGTGGTTGCGCGACAGCTTCCGCAGTACCTGGATGAAACTGTCTTATCTAGATCCGTGCCAGTCCGGCTTCAGACCTGTGTACAGCACGGAGACGGCATTGGTCGCATTGGTGGATGATCTCTGGAGGACTCGCGACAGGGGTTGCTCCTCTGTCCTGGTCCTGTTAGATCTCTCAGAGGCTTTTGATACCATCGACCATGGTATCATGCTGCGTCAGTTGGAGGGCTTTGGGGTGGGAGGCACCATGCTGCGGTGGTTCTCCACCTATCTCTCCGACCGGTCGCAGTCTGTGTTGGCAGGGGGGCAGAGGTCGACCTCAAGGCGCCTCGTTTGCGGGGTGCCGCAAGGGTCGGCATCTCGCCGCTCTTGTTCAACATTTATGTGAAGCTGCTAGGTGAGATCATCCGTGGTTTTGGGGTGCGTTGCCAACTGTACGCTGATGATACTCAGCTGTACATCTCCACCCCTGACCACCCCAATGATGCCCTCGAAGTAATGTCCCAGTGTCTGGAGGCTGTGCGGGTCTGGATGGGGAGGAACAGGCTTCGACTCAACCCTTCCAAGACCGAGTGGCTGTGGATGCCGGCGTCCCAATATAGCCATCTGGTGCCATCGCTGGCTATTGGGGGAGAGTCATTGACCCCCACAGAGGGGGCTCGCAACTTAGGTGTCCTCCTGGACACACGGCTGTCTTTAGAAGAGCATATGACAGCCGTGACCAGGGGGGCTTTTTATCAGGTTCGCCTGATACGCCAGTTGTGCCCCTTTCTGGATCGGGACTCCTTATGCACAGTCACCTATGCCCTCGTCACGTCTCGCCTGGACTACTGCAACGCTCTCTACATGGGGCTCCCCTTGAGGAGCACCCGGAGGCTCCATCTGGTCCAGAATGCGGCCGCGCGGGTGATTATGGGAGCGACGTGGAGCTCCCATGTAACACCTCTCCTGCGCGAGCTGCACTGGCTCCTGGTGGTCTTCCAGGTGTGCTTTAAGGTGTTGGTTCTCATCTTTAAAGTGCTCCATGGCTTTGGGCCAGGGTACTTATGAGACCGCCTGCTGCTACCGATAACCTCCCACCGGCCAATACGCTCTCACAGAGAGGGCCTCCTCGGGGTGCCGTCGGTCAAGCAATGTCGGCTGGCGGCCTCCAGGGGGAGAGCCTTCTCTGTGGGGGCACCCGCCCTGTGGAATGAGCTACCTCCTGGAATACGACTGATCCCGGACCTCCGGACCTTCCGTAAGGCCCTGAAGACTTATTTGTTCCAGCAAGCCGGCCTAGCCTAAAGGGTTTTTAATGGGATTTTTTAAATTTTATAGACTTGGGGTTTTAAAATGGGAGGCCGATTGATTTAATCTTTTTTAATTATCTTAACTTTTGGATTTGGATGTATTTTAATTTTGGCTGTTCATCGCCCTGAGTCCCCTTGGGAGAAGGGCAGTATACAAATTAAATAAATAAATAAAATAAAATAAAATCAATGGGTTCAAGACACAACAATGGCAACATGGTCATGTTCAACTCAATGATTTCAAGGCAATGGTCCAGAGTATTCACAGATGGCTAGATTATGTAACATTGTGTCCAACTACCTCCAGGCGTCAAACACCAAAGTAAACAGGCGTTGATTGGTGTGTCTCATTAGGAGAGGAGAGGCTGCCTCCTCGTGACCAGCCTCACCAACCTCCTTTGCGCCTCTCTCTGCTTAACTATACATGACCTTTGATCAAGCAGGGGCAGCAACTCCTCCTCTCCTCCGCTGGCTGGCTGCAGCTGTGCTTCTCCTCCTGCCTGCACAGCCGACTATTTGTCTGGCCACTCTCTCTCGGATTTCCCAACGTTCCTGGCACAGCTCCATCACAATCATCCTGTCCTGCTACAGAGCCTTCCACATACCCCCCGTGCTCCGCATAGTCCTTGTCAGCCATCCCAACTGCTATCAGGTCACCTCTAGTCCTTCCCTTTGTTAGGCTAGATATATCCAGTTCTTGCAACCTTTCGTCATATGTATTCTTTCTAGAAGCTCTACATCTTTTTTATATTGTGGTTACCACAACTGGACGCAGTATTCCAGGTGTGGTCTTACTAAAGCAGTATATAGTGGTACTAACACTTGATTCATGTGATCTTGATTCTGTCCCTCTGTTAAGGCAGCCTAGGACTGCATCGGCCTTTTTGGCAGCTGCAGCACACTGCTGGCTCATGCTTAAGTGGTTCTTTACTAGGTCTTCAAGATCCCTCTCATAATTACTGTTGTCCAGCCAGGTGCCATCTATTCTATACCTGTATATTTGGTTTTTGTTGCCTAAGTGTAAAACCTAAGTTTTTCTTCACAATGAATTACATTTTGTTGGCTAGGTCCCAGTGTGCAAGTCCGTCTAGTGACTAAATCAGTGGGACCAATGAAATACTTGGGACTTTAGTAAGGCATTTGACAAAGTAGGCCACAATCTATTGCTCCTTTACTACGATTATGTCAATTGTGACTAATAAATACTTAAAACTTCTGGAAGGAACCAGAATCCTTCTGCCTGAACTAGGCACCCTTCTCCAGGCCCACATTTCAAGGCAGTTCTTCATGTACTCCAAAGCAGAATCCTATCATCAAACCGTTCCCACTCTGAAAATTCATTTGTGCCTAAACAGCTGCCATGGGGTGCAGTTCTTCTACCTGGAGGAGTTCAGTAGCCTCGTGCTGGAATTTATCCGCCAGATAGTCCATAATGCAGCTACGAGCAAAATCCACACGGCTGTAGAAAGCAAACTCTGTGCGGCAGAACAGCTGGAGAGTCTGGGAAGCCAGCTCCAGCACTTCACTGCTGGTGTGCTTTTCCACCACTTCCTTTAGCTGGCTCAGCAGCAAGTCTAAGTACTGGGAGGAGACAGAGAGAGTCATCTCAGCAGTGTCCAAGTGCAAGCCTTGGGGGCGGGAGGGGGATGGATTTGGACTTTTGGGGGAAGCAGGAGGAAGAGTCTCCTTAGGAGAAACAAGGTACAGGGGGAGAGGGGCAGAGTAATGACAAGAGTCTCCTACCTTCTCCAGACGGCCTGAGCTGTAATGAGTTAGGTCAAAATAACGCAAAGCCTCCAGCAGAGGTCCTACTTTCTCAGCATCAGCAGAGAACTGCCAAGACAGAGCAGAGAAGTAAGGACTGAGGGTACTAATAGAACATGCTGCTCTTTGCAAGGAAAGCCAAGTGCATCAACATCCAGGACCCTGAGTGGACAGATAAATCCCCAAGTGGCCTCAATGACTTTCAAAGAGTGCTAGGGACCAGATGATTGCAAAGAATACAAATCCTTCTTCCATTCCCCATCATTCAGTCAGAACTGAAGAAAAACTGAAGCAAAACATTTTCAAGGGGAAGAAAAAGTTGAAAAGCAACTTTGGAACAGCCACCTAGAACCAACAGGCAGTGCCACATCCCAACAAGAACACAATGCTTTGGTTTCTCCTCCTGTTTAGTAAGAGATGAATGCATTCACCTTAGCTAACAGCTGGGGCAGTAGAGGGACAAAATGCTGTGCGAGTCTTAAACGCTCTTCAGACTGCACTTTGCGTTCCCGAGCAGAAAACACCTGACAAAGCAGAAAGAAGAAGAGAAGGAGATGGCAGGAAATGGTCCTTGTGAAAGGAGAGGAAGAAACAAGAAGCTTACCTTCTTTCCAGAGAACCTGCCAATTGGTGGGTGCCCTTCTGTGGCTTGCCGCATACTGGCCACCAAGATCAAGATGAGGCTGCTCTCCTTTAGATCACCCAAACCTGCTGAGAAACACAGCACTTTAGCTATGGAGCATCTAACACAGAAAATGAATCCATATTATGCAACTAACACAATCTATAACCCTAAATGTGTAGCTACTGTTCCTTAAATTTGCAGAATTATACCAGTATCCATAAAGAAGCACCAATTTAACTTATTTCTAATTGGATGCAATAAACAGATTTTTTTAAATATAAACTGCCAAGCCTTCTTGAAAACCCCTGGATAATTCCCTCGGATATTTCTCCTAAATATGTTTAACAAATAAGGGATCATTACATATCCTTGCTTTCAGGGATGACCCACTTGCCAATAATAATAATAACAACAACAACAACAACAACAACAACAACAACAACAGCAGCAGCAGCAGCACCTGGTGATGCACGAATTGAAGATAAGCAGCAAGAAAAAATCACAAAGTACCGGGACTTACAAATTGAAGTTGAGCGACTATGGAAAAAGAAATCGTGTGTTGTCCCAATTGTAATTGGAGCCCTCGGAGCAATACCCAAAGGGCTACCCCGCTATTTAGAAATTCTAAATTTGCCGGACTTGAACATTTTGACTCTACAAAAAACCACCTTACTCGGAACAGCTTACATCCTCCGATGATACCTTAACAGTTCCTAGGTCCTTGGTTAGGACTCGAGCTGCTGAGCTATTAACCAGCCTCAAAGGCTGTGAATCTCACTAAAGATTAACCAATGAATAATAATAATAATAATAATAATAATAATAATAATAATAATAATAATAATAATAATAATAATAATAATAATAATAATAATAATTTTATTTCTATACCGCCCTTCTCCCGAAGGACTCAGGGCGGTGTACAGCCTATTTAAAAACACAAGACAAAACAGCAATTAAAATTTAAAATAATTAAATAAATTTGGCTCAATTAAAACCCCAGAAATTTAAAATACCCCAATTTAAAACTATTATGTTGATAGCCCGGCCTGGCGGAACAACAGGGTCTTCAGTGCACAGCGAAACACGCGGAGGTCAGAGATCTTAGGTATTTCCGGGGGCAGTTCATTCCACAGGGCTGGGGCTCCCACAGAGAAGGCCCTCCCCCTGGGTGTCGCCAGCCGACATAACTTGGCCGATGGCACCCTGAGGAGACCCTCTCTGTGGGAGCGGACTGGTCGGTGGGAGGCTATTGGTGGCAGAAGTCGGTCTCGAAGGTACCCGGGTCCTATGCCATGGAGCGCTTTAAAGGTGACCAACACCTTGAATCGCACCCGGAAGACCACTGGGAGCCAGTGCAGCTCGCGCAGGAGGGTGTCACGTGGGCACAACGAGTTGCGCCCATAACCACCCGCGCGGCCGCATTCTGGACCAGCTGGAGCCTCCAAGTGCTCTTCAAGGGGAGCCCCATGTAGAGAGCATTACAATAGTCCAACTGGGAGGTAACAAGGGCATGAGTGACCGTGCGCAGGGCGTCCCGGTCCAGAAAGGGCTGCAACTGGCGGATCAGGTGAACCTGATAAAAGGCCCCCCTGGCCACGGCCGTCATATGCTCTTCTAAAGACAGCCGTGCATCCAGGAGGACACCCAGATTGTGAGCCCTCTCCGTGGGGGGCAGAGATTCACCCCCAATAGTCAACGATGGCACCTGTTGACTATATCGGGGCGCTGGAAGCCACAGCCACTCGGTCTTGGAGGGGTTGAGTCTGAGCCTGTTCCTCCCCATCCAGACCCGCACGGCCTCCAGGCAGCAAGACATCACATCTGCTTATTCTCATTCATTATTTATTACTGTTCTCACATTTATATCAAACATTCCATAATTCATTTTCCTGTTTACTTTCACGATATGCTTTTGTTAAAATTACAAACACAGAATAAACTTCTTACAATTATATGTTTCTCAATGACCTGAAAAGGAAAAATTATTAATTCAATTTTATTAATTCAATTTATATGCCACCTTTCTCCGCAGACTCAGGGCAGCTAAAAAATGCAGTATGCACAATTTCTTTCCAGCATGAAGAGGAACATAACTAAAGAACATAAAGTACTTCCAGTAACTATAGCAATCATGTCAGAAAAGCTAAAGCTCAGAATGAACAAAGGCTTGCATAAGAGGTAAGAAACATCAAAGAGTCCTTGGTACTCTGAGCCTAATGGTTTACTTCCAGACTTTTCATCACCCAAAAAGGTAATACCATCAGTGTGAGTGAGTGTGGGGTTTTCTCCCAATTTATATACAGTAGCTTGCCCTGCCAGTGTTGGCGGGGGTGTAGTTTTCTCCTTGGTGATTCCTTGATTACTGTTTTCTGCTCATTTGTCTGGTGTTAATCCTTGCTTATTGGGGTGCTGGCTGCTATGTCTTCTGGTCTTTTGTTTCTTTCTTAGGTTTTCTATTGTCTCTGAACTATAAATCTGGTTTATTTCTATGTTATCTATTGATGACTGATTTGTCTAAATGCCAAGTTTCCAGGAATTCCCTGGCATTTTTGGATTTGGTTTGGTCTAGGATACTTTTTTCCCTGGGTGATAATGGGCTGAGACTATCCATATCCATGCTGGGATTAAGAAATTTTCATCATGTCTTCCAACTTCTGGCTTTTGCTCATGGATATGCTTTGCCTGTCTTCTGCCTATCTGTCCTATATAGTGGCTGTTACAGCCCTTACACTGTATGTTGCAGGGCTACTGGGACCATTGGTTTAGTTACAGTGTTTTGGAGGGCTTTAACTGGAGCAAAACCCACACTCACCAGCACTGATGTTAGTTGGCTGTGATGAAACATCTGCAAGCAAACAACCAAGTTCTGAGAGCACCAAGGTCTCCACAGTTCAATCCTGAGCTACAGGAAGTCTCTTCCTTTGAAGTATGAGTTCTTTGGGAAGTGAGAAATGAACAGAAAGCCATGTGTAGATGCAGCCAAAGAAAGCAGTCAATCCGTAATGGGACAAGGAGAAACATTATCTTAACTTCCTTGTGTCGGTCTTCTCAAAAAAGAAATGGAGCTCTAGCTAGTCATCCAAATCACTTGAGCCCCCACCTCCAACCCGGACCAGATTCAACTGGAAAGTACAGAAGGAATGTACAGAAGGAAGAGGACGCCAGGTCTGCTTTAAGTAGTCATGTGATTACTTTCATGAGGAAAGTTCTTTGCAAATACATGGGAAGATCAGAGTATCCCAGTCAAATCACATTCAACATGAATCCACAATGTGATATTGTTGCTAGATAGGCCAATAATACCTTGACAGGTATTAAAGGTAGTCCTTGCTTAATGACTGTCCTGTTTAGCAACTGATCAAAGTTACAACAGCATTTTACAACCAGTCCTCACACTCAAACCTCTCACAGTATTCCCACAATAATGTGATCAAAATTTGGATGTTTATAATCGTCACAGCATCCCACAGTCAAAGAACAGCACTTGCGCACTTCACAGCCAACTTCCAGCTACGTCCATGGGCAGATATCCTCAGGGAGTGATCCCCAGAATTTCAGGTGGGTTTTAAAGAAGTCAGAGGGCACATTTTTCCCATTCATTTAGCAACCAACAGCTGATATGAGCCAAAGCCTACCCATCTCTGCTCACCTTCTATGGAGGATTCCTCCAGCAAAAGGCCAGTCAGCACCGGCCAGTCCTTCAGCAGGGCAGATGCACAGTCCCACAGGCTATCGACCAAATAGGCGGCATGGTCATGGAACTGTGGGTGGAGAACAAAGCACTGCACTAAAACCAGCCTGGCTAAGGGTCGCCACGACTCTTCACCTTCTCCTTATGGCTCAAACATTTCACTCACCTCGCTTTCAATAAAGAACACCAAAAGCAATTGAAGGAAGACACGAGTGCCCTCATGGCGGTCCCCTGATTTTGCCCTGGCGTCCACCTTGGGTGCCAAGAACCTACAAGCCAAGCTACCATCATTAGGAAACAGTCCAAGTCAGAAATCTTTGGGAAGAAACAGGAAATTGCATTCCAATGCACAACAGAGTGCTTGCTCAGTATGCTGAGATGCATTGGGGGGCAGGGGCGGGGGTGAAATGGTTCGGACCAGATAATGCGATCCGGTAGTGATTGTGGCAGGTGGTTCGGAGAACCGGTAGCAATGGAGGCGTGAGGCTCTGTCCACCCGCCCGGGTGTCATTCCTGGTTTTAACCAGGAAGTAATGTGTTTTTTACCCTCTTGTGCATGCACTGGTTTTGCCCATGCACAGAGGGTCTATGTGGTGCGTGCACTTCCGAACCAGTAAGGATGGTAAGTAGATTTCACCCCGGGGGGGGGGGGGGGGGAGGGAGAACCATACTCACTTTCTATATAAAAATCCACCTGCAGCAGCAGCTAAAGGACGACTGGAAGCATAAACCAGTGGGAAGACCCTTTCACAGTCAGCGTCAGTGAGTGCGCCGTCCATATTCCTGCACAGAGACCAGTCTTAAGTGCACATGAAAAATGTCAATCCCCAACACTTCTAAGTCAGGGTAGAAAGGACAGACTTAAAACACAGGAGACCCTCTGCCACTGCATGCAGAGAATATTGACTTTGAGGAACAATTCAAATGCTAACAGTGCCTTCGTATTACTCTTGGCATCACTTACTGAAGGATAAGAGTAAGCAGCCTCACAGCTTCCGTTGCCACTTGAGGCTCTTTATCCAGAACCATGGACACAATCCGTTCCTGCAGAAAAACAAGAGGTACTGGAGGAGGGAGGATACCAACTAGAATACCACCCACTTTTTAGGAATGGTTAACTACCTCCTTGAAAATGCATCAAATGTATATTTCCGTACTTAACAGACAAATATGTTTCAGCTTGCTGGCTTATTCATTTATATGATCTTTCCATATCTTTGCTGTCAACATTTTGTAATTTATTAAAGCCGCCACAGGTGCACTGAACCTCCACTATGTAAAAACACAACTATAGGAACCTGCCTCCAGTCAAGACTCCTCTCCTCTGCCAGGACATTGCAGAGGACAAATAATACATTTCATTTGTACATATTTGATTGCTATCAATATATCAATATAACCCAGAATCTTGAAAGAGCCGGCAACCCTGAAACTGCTGGATGACCCTGGAGAGGAAGGAATTAGATTACAAAAACAGGTTGCTATCCTTTCCTCAGTGTGAAGGGAAATGGGTGTAATAAAGGATGTTTTTGTTGAAAGAGGCTAATATGGGTGGAAAGGCAAGCTTGGAGCCTCCTTAGAAATACAGAATTTAGACATACCAAATCTGCTGGTAGTAAGGCCGGGCCTTGCTCCTTCTCAAATGCTACATTTCAACTGCAATTCTTACGTTATCATTTCAGAAGGTACATGACCTGTAACCACCTTGTGGGCTTTGGGACTCCTCTGTGTTCTTCTGGTGAAAAGCCCAGCAACCACTGTAGTTGTGCTTGAACATAACAAATTATGTTGCATCTTTTATCTCCAATAGCTTTGGCTCTTTAGTTAAGCGGGCATTTACCCCACAACAAAACTGTCCTTTTTGGGACACAGCTAAGATGCGAGTTGCCTATCTGAGGGTGCAAAGTGTACTTCATTTTGACATCTCAAAAACAGGGCTGTCCTGAGCATTTCTGGAAGTCTTCTGCAGCCACTATACTAACTTCAAAATAATTGAACTATAAGATTGGATTTCCCCACAAATAATTTAGCCACAGTGCTCTGTGCCAGTTGTCTTCAAAGGCAACCCGACTAACTCTACATTGCTGTAGCATGCAGTAATTGTGTGATGGTTTGGTGATCATAATTTGCAAGTTACAAAAATTAAAGTTGCTAAGTTACACTTGTGCAATGAAAAAAAAAAGGGGAAGCTTAGAAAACTTCCAAATAAGGGTCACAAAAGTTCAGCTGGTATGACCCATCACCCCAACAATTCCAATCTCTGATTGAGACAGATGGCCGAGATGAGGCTTCTCACCTAAAACTGCACCCAAGTAAGACCGACCCCAGAGAGACATAAGAGGACAGGAGTTGAGAGAGAAGTTCTGTGCTGTAAAAACCAACCCATGAAATATTCCCCTCCCTTGCGATCCCCATACGGTTACTATCATAATAGTACTATTCAGTTACTTTTACTACAATATTTATACTATATAGGTAGTCCTTGACTTAAAAACACAATTGAGCCCAACATTTCTATTGTGATGTGAGACATTTGTTGAGATTTGCCCCATTTTACAATCTTTCTTGTCACAGCAGTTGATTAATTAGTAACCTGGTTAAGTGAATCTGGCTTCCCCACTTTGCTTCTCAGGAGGTCACAAAAGGGGATCACATGACCCCGGGATAATGCGACCATCATAAATATGACCCAGTTGCCAAGCGTCTGAATTTTGATCATGTTTGAGGATGTTGCAAAGGTTGTAACTGTGAAAAACAGTCATAAGTCGCTTTTTTCAGTGCTGTTGTAACTTTGAACAGTCACTAAACAGTCACTGTAATAAATTGAGGATTACCTGTACTCTATACTACCCGGTGTATGCTCTATTACTGTTACCTGTTGCACATGCTATGCTCTATGCTATGGATGTCAAACTCATGTTGTCACATGACGCATCACAACTTTTTTCCCCCTTCGCTAAACCAGGGGTGGGCATGCCCAGAGCGTGACACATCCAGCCCGCAAGTTTGACATCCCTACTCGATGCCATTGATACAGGCATCTCCAAGATACAGGCAGGCCTCAGTTAGTTTGTTTAACAATGGCTCAAAGTTATGACGGCCTCAAAAGTTTACGACCTGTCCTTGCACTTACAACCATCATAGCAACCCTGCAATCACATGATGGCAATTTGGGCATTTGACAACTCGCTGTTCTGCCCCAGCTATGGACCCCAAAGAACGCAGCACACACAAAGTCCATTCAAACCTTAATTTACTGAATAAACCAGTCTTTTACAACAACGGCTGTTAATTAATTGCATTAACAGCCGCCAAGAACTCAAAGAATAATAACTGAAAACTTACTATGGTTGGCAGAATGCCCAGAAGCAATTTGCAGAAAGCTGATAAGCAAGACAAGACAAGAAGATATGTGAACTAAGTTGTTCCCTGCAAATTGCTTCAGTCAGCGTTCCTCCTTAAATAGGCTAAGGGAGTGGCCAATTAGCCCCAAGCCTTACTCTCGAGGAGACCTCCTCCTGAGGAGCCACTCCTGCCTTTTGGTAGCTCTGCGCGCCCGTGCATCGAGAAGAGGCTCCTCCTCTTCATCCTCTTCACTTAAGGGAGCTTCTGGAGGTTCTGAAGGCCCTGGCTGAATCCCTGCCTCTAGCACATCATCTTCTCCAGCCTCCTCATTGTCCGACTCGAGTGCCAGCTGCACAGGCTGCTGGTGCAGCACCACACCAGCCTCCTCGCTGTCTGAATCAGCTACTAGCTGCATAGGCCGCGAACGGGCCACAACACTCGCTCACCTTTACAACCAGTTAAAACCTCCTGCGGTCACAGGATCGTGACCTTCCCAGCTGGTTTACGACAATGAATCACAATTGGACAAGCTGAGTGATCAATCGTGATTTGCTTAAGTACTACAGTAAAAATGGTCATAAAATTGGATTATCATGTGATGACTTGTTTTATGACTGCACCAACGTACAATGGAAATTCCGGTCCCAATTGTGATCATAAATCTTATCTCTAATTAACCTTGGTCATACGAACAAGCTAACTGCATTACTAATGTGGGCAGCCTCCTGCCCGCACCCCCTTATCTTTCTTGGTGACCTCAATTTACCTCTTATTAATTGGACTCTAAACGAATGTACAACCGAACCTATACATGCAACCCTGTACAATGCTGTTACAACTCTGGGGCTGGATCAATTGGTAACGAACAACACTTGGCTCAACAACTGCCTTGATCTCATCTTCTACAATATTTTATTTATTATTAATTTATTTAATTTATTTAATTTATTTAATTTAATTAATTAATTAATTAATTATATTTCTATACCACCTTTCTCCCGTAGGACTCAAGGCGGTGTACAGTCAAGAAAAATATAGACACACAAACATCATAAAATTGCTAATTAAAATTATTACTTAGTTTGGTCAATTAAATAAAACCCAGAATTAGATAACATTTAAAAAATCATTCACATGTTCGTATGTTTAGCCCCGCCTGTTGGAACATCAGGGTCTTGAGGGCACGGCGGAAAGCATGGAGATCAGGGATATTCCGTATCTCCGGGGGCAGTTCATTCCAAAGGGTTGGAGCCCCCACAGAGAAGGCCCTCCTCCTGGGAGTCGCCAGTCGACATAATTTGACTGACGGTACCCTGAGTAGTCCCTCCCTGTGAGAACGAACTGGTCGGTGGGAGGCTATTGGTGGCAAAAGACGGTCTCGTAGGTACCCAGGTCCTAAGCCATGGAGCGCTTTAAAGGTGATAACTAACACCTTGAATCGCACCCGGAAGACCACCGGGAGCCAGTGCAGCTCGCGTAGGAGAGGTGTTACATGGGCGTAACGAGCTGCGCCCATAATCACCCGTGCAGCTACGTTCTGGACCAGTTGGAGCCTCCGGGTGTTTTTCAAGGGGAGCCCCATGTAGAGAGCATTACAGTAGTCCATACGGGAAGTAACTAGGGCATGAGTGACCGTGCGCAAGGCGTCCCGATCCAGAAAGGGACGCAACTGGCAGATCAGGCGAACCTGATAAAAGGCACCCCTGGCCACGGCCGTCAAATGATCTTCTAAAGATAACCGTGAATCCAGGAGGACACCCAAGTTGCAGGCCCTCTCTGTGGGGAGCAAGATCTCATCCCCTAATGTCAGTGATGGTACCAGCTGACTATACCGGGACGCCGGAAGCCACAGCCACTCAGTCTTGGAGGGGTTGAGTCTGAGCTTGTTTCTCCCCATCCAGATCCGCACGGCCTCCAGGCAACGGGACATCACAGCAAGGGCCTCATTGGGGTGGTCTGGGGTGGAGATGTATAGCTGTGTGTCATCAGCATACTGATGAACACTCACCCCAAAACCACGGATGATCTCGCCTAGCGGTTTTACATAAATGTTGAACAGAAGGGGTGAGAGGACTGACCCTTGCAGCACCCCACAAATAAGGTGCCTCGAGGTCGACCTCTGCCCCCCTGCCAACACAAACTGCGAACGGTCAGAGAGGAAGGAGGAGAACCACCGAAGCACGGTGCCCCCTATTCCTAACCCCTCCAGCCGGTGCAGTAAGATACCATGGTCGATGGTATCAAAAGCCGCTGAGAGATCTAATAGGACCAGGCTAGAGGAGCAATCTCTGTCCCGAGCCCTCCAGAGATCATCCACCAATGCGACCAATGCTGTTTCCGTGCTGTATCGTGACCTGAAGCCCGACTTTAAACTTTAATTTTAAACTCAATTTATGGTCTACAAGTTAAAGAATCTTTTTCCAACAGTGACCACAGCATGATTGATTTTTGTCTCAATTTACATCCTTGCAAAGAGAGTCATAATGATGGGACACCAAATTATAACTTTAAAAAAAGCTAACTATGATCTCATAGCTGCCAACCTCACATCTCTTGATTGGCACCTTCTGTTCACTGGCAATATGCTGTTACAGATAGTGAGTTGTGGCGAGTTAGTTACCTTAAGAATTAAGAGCTGTCTTCTTAAGAGATTGCATTGTGGGAGATGTAGTGAGAGATTGCATTATGGGAAATGTAGT